ACAACTGGACAAAAATATCTCAATTAAAAATATTCCATCCAGCAGCAAATTTGTTATCCTAAACGAAAATATTTCCAACGCAGATTTTGAGGTGTACACGGACGGGTCCAGGATCGAAGATGAGACTGGATTCGCCGTGTGCATCTTCCAAGAAAACAATAACATTGAAAATCACCTTTACAAACTTAAAAGTCACAATTCCGTTTTTCAAGCAGAGTTGGCCGCCATCCATTGCGCGGCCAACTAGGCTGCCAGCAAAAATGTATTCATCAATATTCATACTGACAGCCTCTCCTCAATATCCACCTTCAAGAGTGCCAGCGCCAGATCTTCTTTTGTAAATAACATAAAAGAAGATCTTGTAAAAATTAAACATTTGGTCGGCCTCTCCTGGGTCAAAGCCCACGTAGGAATCCAGGGGAACGAATTGGCCGACCAACAGGCAAAACTTGCGACCACCACGGGGGTTGACACAATTATCCCGGCTCCCCGTTCCTGTGTTAAAAGGTTACTCAATAAACTTATGATCAAAGAATGGAACGACTATTGGAGGCAATACAACTGTACCTCCGGAGCCAGAGTCAGGGAATATCTCGAACACGTAAGCCCGAAGTTTTTAATTCACAGCAAGTTTTTAATCTTTTTCTTAAGTGGACACGGACCATTTCCTTTTTATTTATATCGCTTTAAAATTCTAGACTCCCCTTTGTGCGTCTGTGGGCAGGTGGGCGATGCAGATCACTATACCTTTAGCTGCTCGCTCACCCAAAAATTTCATTTAGTTAAACCCGCAGACGCCCACAAAAGGGCCTGGTTCCAAAATCTCAGTAATAATTCCCAGGACCTTAATAAACTTAAAGAATCCTTCATGATCAGTGGGGACGGGTGCGATTCGTTGACCCAAGCTGTGTGATTTTCCCTTTTTTTGTTTTTTCGATCTTTTAAAGATGTGTTGATTTTTAAACCTTTTTCCTTTTATTTGGTGTTTGTCCGTTTTGTAATGGCTTTTTGGATCTTTTTGTTGTCTTGCGACTCTTGTGGTATTTGCATGTACATTTGATTTACCACTGTGGGTTTTTCCCTTATTGGGAGTGTTTCTGGGAGGAGTGGGTGAAGTACGTCGGGAGTGTATACTCCTGGTAGGGTCACCCAAGGCGTGAAGGCCACTCCACTATTCTCAGTTACACTTAACTCCGCAGTGGTCTTGATCCTTCAGATATTCGTTGTTGGGTCGCTTTGTTTGTTAATTATATATTTTGACTTTTTTAGATCCTTTGTACTTTTTTTTTAATATTTGATGTTTTTGACTCTATTTTAATTACTTGACTTAAGTGGACTTTCACTTGCTTTTAGACCTGTTTTATTGCATTTTAACTGTGTCGGTCACTTGGTGGTATTTTATGATGTCTTATGCTTTTTATATACTTTTTATACTTCGTTTCAATTTCGGGCATTATTTTGCATGTACTCTTTGTTCCTCATCTCTTTATACTGGGTGGTATTGTGTATTGTTGTTGAATATTTTATTGCAATATTTTACTGTTTTTAATGGTTTTTATATATTGTCTACTGCTCTCCCATCCCACGCTTATTCTGCAAACCTTTTAAACTTTTTAAACTTGTCTGTTTTTGTTAGATTTTGTGATCTTATTTTTAAAATATTTTAATAGAGACCTATTTAAATCTTTTTTGACCCTAGTCGGTTTATGTGTCGTTGTTTTTTTTTTAACTTTTACGAGGTTAGATTCGTTCCTCCGTTCTCTCCAGGGGTTGGTTGTAGGTAATTGGGGTGTGTTGGCATCTCCTTCGAGCCTGTATTTGGGATTGTGTTTCTTAATTGACTTTTACATTTTTTGCTCTTTTATCTGTTCTCTTTTTAACGAATCGGATGTCGTCGATTTCACTCTGATGTTTCCTGGTTTGGGTTTAGATCTTTTTAAATGACCTATTTGGAATTCTCTTTTAACTTTTTATACGACTTGGTGTGTGTGTGTTTGCTGTGATTCGTGTGATGTGTGTGTGTCTTGTCTGTCTTTTGTGTGTTTTATATTTGCTTTTTATATATGGTAATTTTATTTATTAATTGTCTGCATTGCGGGATTCTTATGCTGATCTGTTGTAACACTTTAATTGTATATTTTCGTGGCGACCGATGAGTTGGTCGCTTGAGACCTCAACGCTTGTATCGTTTTATCAATTATGTTGCGACGTTATATATTGTGTCCGGCACCTTTTGTATTTAATTTCTGCTCCTGTTTGAGCATAGTATGTATTGGCGTTTTATTTTTGTAACTACGTTTACTAAGTTTGTGTGTCCGGCACCCTTTTTATTCTTTATGTGTCCAGCACCCTTTTTATATTTTACTGCCACTATGGGCAATGTTTGTAACATTTTCACTTTGACTAAATAAAGGCTGGTCCGGGGTCTGCGTCTAGTCGTTGGCCGACGCGCATTGGAGGTTTCTTTGCTTCCCCGGCGGCCTTTTTTGCCTTACACCCTTTTTGGGTAGGCTGGGCCGTCGTGGGTATTAGAACAAGTCCACGAGTTGTCCGCGTGGCCCAATGGATAAGGCGTCTGACTTCGAATCAGAAGATTGTATCTTCGAGTCCTGTCGCGGCGAAAGTTTGGGCTTCCATTTTCGATTCATTCCCGACTCTTAATATTTTATTAAAGTGTCTTTCATTCGCATTTTGTGTGAAACACGAGTGTTTCTGTGAAGTGTCCGCCTGGCCCAATGGATAGGGCGTCGGACTTCGAATCAGAAGATTACAGGTTCGAGTCTTGTCGCGGACGAGAGATGGGGCTTCCTTTTTCGATGCATTTAAGATTATTAATATTTTATTAAAGTGTCTTTCATTCGAATTTAGTGTGAAACACGAACCATCTTCGAGTTGTCTGAGTGGCCAATGTATAGGGCGTCGGACTTCGAATCAGAAGATTGCAGGTTCGAGTCCTGTCGCTGGCGAGAAATGAGTCTTCCTTTTTCGATGCATTTAAGATTATTAATATTTTATTAAAGTGTCTTTCGACGAGATTTAATTTAATGAGAGCTTACGAATTATTCCAGTAGTGTCCCGCGTGGCGGCCCAATTGATAGGGCGTCACGACTTAGTCAAAACGCAGGTGCAATTCCTGTCGCGGACGAGAAGCTAGGGGCTTCCTTTTTCCGATGCATTCCCGACTATTAATATTCCCATTAAATTGTCTTTCATTCAATTTGTGTAAAATACGAACAAATACAGGTTGTCAGTGGCCCCAATGGATCAAGTCGTCTGACTTCGTCAAGAAGATTGCAGGTTTCGAGTCCTGTCGCGGACGATAATTGGGGGTTTTCTTTTTCCAGTAGATTCCCATTAATAATATTTTATTAGAGTGCATTTCATTTCAATTTAGTGCTTGAAAACAGGTACTTCTTCAGGTGTCCGCGTATTTAATGGATGAGCGTCTGACTTCGAATCAGAAAATTGCAAAGATTCGAGGTCTGTCGCGGACGAAATGGGGCTTCGCGATGCATTTGACTATTAATATTTTGTTAAATTGTCTTTCATTCAATTTGTGGCAAAACACAGACAAACCCACAGTTGTCCACGTGGCCCCGATGGATAAGTCGTCTGACTGAATCAGAAGATTACAGGTTCAGTCCTGTCATGACCGAAAAGTTGGGCTTCCGATTACATTCCGACTAGTAATAATTTATTGAAGTGCATTTCATTCGAATTTGAATGGCAGAAGGAAACGGGGTGTTTCCAGCGGGGTGTCCGCATTGGCCGAATGGATGGGCGTCTGACTTCAGATCAAGTTGCAGGTTCGAGTCCTGTCACTGGACGAAAGAGACTTCCTTTTCCGATACATTTAGATTATTAAAATTTTTATTAAATTGCCTTTCATTTCGCATTTAGTGTGAGAAAACGAATTGACTTCCGTGCGGTTCCCGCATTGGCCCAATGGATAGGTGATGACTTCCAGTCAGAGGTACCTTCGAGTCTGTCGCCCGGACAGAACTTCCTTTTCCATTGCATTTTAAGAATTGTTAAAATTTTGTAAAATTGTCTTTCATTTGAATTTGAGTGTTAAACACCCAATTTTTCTAGAGTGAAATGTCACGTGGCCCAATGGATAAGGCGTCTGACTTCGAATCCAGAAGGTGCAGGTTCAGGTCCACCATGGACGATAAGTTTCCTTTAACGTGAATTCCGACTATTAATACTTATTTAAAATAAAATATCAAGAATATTCATCAAAACTTTAAAATATCCTTTAACACCGATGCAGTCCTGACTATTAATATTTTATTAGAAGGTATGCTTTTCATTCCAATTTAGTGTGAAACACGAACAAGCCACGAGTTGTCCGCATTATGGCCCAATGAATAAAGTCGTCTGACTTCGTATCAAGCGCGATTCCGAGTCCTGTCACTGAGGACGAGAAATGGGAGAACATTGAAAGTGTCTTTCATTTGAATTTAGTGGGAAACACGAAGATTTTCCGCGAGGTGTGTCGCGTGGCCCAATGGATACGTTGACTCGAATCAGAAGATTTGCGAATTCGAAGTCCTGTCGTCGGACGAAGAAATGGGCTTCTTCTCCATGCATTTAAGATTATTAATATTTTATAAGTGTCTTCCATTTTGAATTTGAGTGTATAACACAGGATTATTCCGTGAGGTGTCGCGTGGCCCAATGGATAGGCGTCTGACCAGTTCTAAATGGGTGAAGTTCGGAGTCACCAAGAGCGGCAACGAAATGGGGCTTCCTTCCCGGTGCATTCGACTATTAATATTTTATTAGTTGTCTCATTCAATTTATGTGAAACACGAACAAGCCCTGAGTTGACGTGTGGTTCCCAATGCATGACGTCTGACCAGATCGAAGATTGCAGGTTCGCGTCCTGTCGCGGACGAAAATTTAGGCTTCCATTTTCGGTACATTCCCGACTATTAATAATTTATTGAAATTGCATTTCATTCAGATTTGAGTGTGAAAACAGTGTTTCCTGGGTTGTCCGCGTGGCCCAATGGATAAGGCGTCTGACTTCGAATCAGAAGATTCAGGTTCGGGAGTCCTGTCTGTCGCGGACGATGGTGGGTTTTCCTTTCTCAGAGAATTCCCGACTATTAATATTTAGGTGCTCATTTCAATTTGAGTGTGAAAAACGCAATGTTTCCTTAGGTGTCCGCGTGGCCCCAATGGATAAGACATGGACTCGAATCGAAGATTGCAGGTTCGAGTCCTGTCATGGGACGATAATTGGGGTTTCCTTTCTCAAGAATTCCGACATTAATATTTTATTAGATGCATTTCATTCCAATTTATGTGAAAACGAATGTTTCCTTAGGTGTCCGCGTGGCCAATGGATAAGGCGTTTGACTTCCAATCAGAAGATTGCAGGTTCGAGTCCTGTCCGGACGAGAAATGGAGCTTCTTTTCATGCATTAGACTATTAATATTTTTATTAAATTGTCATCACGATTTAGTGTGAAACGACAAGATTAATTCCATTGACGGTCCATTTAATTGAATGGGCGATCTGACTTCGATCAGAAGATTTGCGAATTCGAGTCCTGTCGCGGACGAGAAATATAGGACTTCTTTTCCGATGCATTCCGACTATTAATATTTGCAAAGTGTCTTCATTCGATTTAGTGGGTGACAGAAGCAACGTGTCTCACAGGTGTCCGTCGGCCCGAATGGATAGTCGTCCTGACTTCGAATCAGAAGATTGGAGTATCGTCCTATGGGACGATAGTGGGAGTTTCCTTTCTCGAGAATTCCGACTTGTATACTTTGATGTTTCATTTCAATTTCGAATTTGAGTGTGAAAAACGAATGCTTCTCCGTTGAGGTGTCGCGTGGCCCAATGGATAAAGCGTCGACTTTTGATCAAGAAATGCAGATTGCAGGTCCTGTCATGCGATCGGGAAATGGGGCTTCCTTTTCCCGATGCATTTCCGATATTAATAATTTTATTAAAGTGTCTTTCATTTGAATTTGTGTAACACGAATTTCCAAACAATTGTCCATGCCGGCTAGAATGGAATTAAGCGTCTGACTCGAATCAGAGATTGCAGGTTCGGTCCTGTCCGCGGACCGATAATTGGAAAGTTTCCTTTTCGATGCACGACTATATTTTTATTAGGGGTGCATTTCATTCAATTTGATGTGGCGAGGCTGTTCCATGGGGATTCCGCGTGGCGAATGGATAGGGCGTCTGACTTCGAATCAGAATTAGGGGTTCGAGTCCTTAAGTCACCATCGGACGAGAAGCAGGTCTTCTTTTCGATGCTTCGCCAATATTAATAGTGTCTATTAGTGCTTTCCATTCCCGAATTTGTGTAAAACAGATACTACCTCCGGATTGTCGTTGGCCTAATGGATTAAGGCGTCTGACTTCAGAATCAGAAAAGGCAGAGTTCCGAGTCCTGTCGCGGACCGAGAAATTGGCTCATTTCCGTGAAATTCCCGACTATTGGTATTTTATTAAAAGTGCTTTCATTCACATTGTGGAACCGAACAAACTTAGAGTTGTCTGTCGTGTGGTGCCCAGTCAAGATGATCTTACTGACTCGATCAGAAGATTGCAGGTTCATGGTCCTGTCGGATGAAAATTTAGGGGAGTTCACTTTCCATGTCCCGACTATTAATATTTTGATTAAAGTGGGATTTCATCCAATTTAGTTAATATGTAAAGAGGTGTTTTCCGTCGGGTTATCCCGCGTAGGCCAATAGACAAAGTTCAACGTCGACTTTGAAGTCAGAATTTCGCAGAAGTCCCTGATCGCGAGGAATGAGAACTCTTTTCAATGATATAATTATTCCACTATTTTAATAAATTGTATGTTTTCAATTTCAATTTGAGTGCATTAATAGACAAATACACAGTTGTCGCCGTGGCAGCATTCCAACACTTCCCAGCAAGATTAGATTTCGCTGGAGGTTTCAGTCATATAAGAATTAGACTTCCTAAGATTTCCGCGATAAGGATCACTTATGTCGATTCGTTCCAAGCTCGCGAAATAACTCAGTAATAAGTCAAAATTCTCTTTGATTACATTATCTTCGATTAATTGTAGTAAAACAAATCCTGAGAGTTCGCAATAGCCCAATTGGATAGTCGCTGTCTTGGCATTCATCAAGAAGATTGCAGGTTCGCAGGTCCTGTCCTGGAGAGAAATGGGAGCCCTCTTTTCGATGCATTTAAGTGTGTATTATATTTAAAAGTGTCTTTCACTAATTTTGAATTTGGTTGGAAACACGAATTTTTCCTGGGAGATTGTCCATGTGGCCCAATGGATGGCGTCTGACTTCGAATCAGAGATTGCAGTTCGAGTCCTGTCGCTGGACAGAAATGGGGCTTCTTTTTCCAACATTTAAGATTATTAATATTTTATTAAAGTGTCTTTTTCATTTGAATTTAGTGTGAAAACAATTGGTTTCAAGTGAGGTGTCCGTGGCCCAATGGATAAGAGCGTCTGACTTGAATCAGAAGATTGCAGGTTCCGAGGTCCTGTCGCGGACGAGAAATGGACTTCCTTTCCGATGCATTTGAATATCAATATTTTTATTAAATTGTCTTTCATTCGAATTTGTGTGAAACACGAATCAAACCCACGGAAGTTGTCGTGGCTGCCCCAATGGATAATCGTCTGACTTAATCAGAAGATTGCGAGGCAGGTCCTGTCGCGGACGAAATTAGGGTTTCCTTTTCGATGCATTATTCCCGACTATGTAATTTATTAGAGTGCATTTCATTTCGAATTTAGTGTAGAAAACGAGATTGTTTTCTGCAAAGTGTCCACGTGGCCCAAATGGATGAGGCGTCTGACTTCGAATCAGAAGATTCGGAGTTTTCGAGTCCTGTCATGATGGGTGGGTTTCCTTTTCAGATTCCAGACTATTAATATTTTATTAAATTTTCTTTCATTTCAATTTGAGTGTGAGAAAAGGTGTTTCCAGAAGGTAGTCCGCGTGCCCAATGGATAGGAGCGTTCTGACTTCGAATCAGAAGATTTGGAGTTCAGGTCCCTGTCGCGGACGAGAAATGGGTTTCCTTTTCCGATGCATTTATTAATATTTTATTATTATTGTCATTCAATTTAGTGTGAAACACGAATGTTTCCGTGAGGTGTCCGCCGCATGAATGGATAAGGCGTCTGACTCGAATCAGAAGATTGACGGTTCGAGTCCTGTCGCGGACGAAATGGGCTTCTTTTTGTCGATACATTTAAGACTATTAATATTTTATTAGTGTACTTTCATTGAATTTGGTAGTGAAAACAAATGTTTCCAAAAGGGGTGTCCGCGTGGCCCATTGATAAGGCGTCTGACTTTCGTCAGAAAGATTGCAGGTACAGGATCCTTCACTACGAAATGGGAGACCTTTCACCTGATACATTTCCCATTCTAATATATTTATTAAATTGTCTCATTCGAATTTATGTGAAAACAGACAAACCATCGAGTTCCGGTAATGATGATTGACTCATTTTCACTCCACTGGAAATGGGCTTTCCGAAATTTGATTAATATCTTCTTGATTGTACTGAATTTTCTATGCGAATGGATAAGACTTGACTGATCAGAAGATTCGACGGGTTCGAGCCTGTCGCGGACGATAATTGGGGTTTTCTTTTTCGATGAATTCCGACTAATTAATTTTTATTAAATGCGATCATTTAGTGGCTGAAGAACAGATCTTCCTTCAGGTGTTCCGCGTGGCCCAATGGATGAAGGCGTCTGATCGAACAAGTTGCAGTTCAGAGTCCTGTCGCGGACGAGAAATGGAGACTTCCTTTCCCGATGCGATTCCCGACTATTTTTTTAATAATTGTCTTTCATTCAATTTTGTGAAACACGGAACAACCACAGTTGTCCGTTGGCCCAATGATAAAGTCGTCTGACTTCCAGATCAGAAGATTGCAGGTTCGAGTCTCGCGAGCGACAATTTAGGCTTCCATTTTTCGATGCATTCCACTCAATTAATAATTTTATTAGAGTGCATTTCATTTCACATTTAATTAGACGAAAAGAAAGCCAGAGTGTTTCATGTGGGTGTCCGCAGGCCGCAATGGATAGGCGTCTGACTAGATCTAGGAAATTGCGGGTTCGAGTCCTGTCGCGGACGGAAGTGGGGGTTCCTTATTTCGATGATTAGATATTAAATTATTTTTTAGGTGCCATTTCATTCGATTTAGTTCTTGGAAAACGGAGTGTTTCCGTGCGTTTCGACGTGGCCCAATGGATTAGCGTCCAGACTTTGATCAAGAAGGACGAGGTTCGAGTCCTGGCTCGCGGACAGAAATGGGGCTTCCTTTTCCTGATAGCATTAAGATTATTAAAATTTTATTAAGTGTCTTTCGTTCGAATTTAGTGTGGTAACACGCCACGGAGTGTCGCAATGGTCCAATGGATGAGACGTCTGACTTCGATCAGAGATTGCAGGTTCGAAGGTCCTGTCGCGGACGAAATGGGGTTCTTTTCACGATAGATTCCGACTAGTAATATTCTATTAAATCTTCTATCAGAGTGTTTATTTACACATTTGGTGAAAAATACGAGAGTTGTCATTTCAGTGTGTCAATGGATAAGTACGATTAGACTTCGAATCAGAGAGATTGCAGGTTCCGTAGTCCTGTCGCGGCATTAGACTGGTCCTTTCTCGATGCATTCCCGACTAATATTTCATTAGGTGCATTTCATTCCGAATTTAGTGAAAACAGGTGTTTCCATTGGGTGTCGCGATTTTAGACGAAATGGAGCGTCTGACTTCGATCAGAAATGATTGCAGGTTCGAGATCCTGTCGCGGACGAAATGGGGCTTCCTTTTCCGATACCCATTGATCATGAATTTTATAAAGGCTGTCTTCATTCGATTTAGTGTTAAAACAGTGTTTCCGATGAACGGTGTCCATTGTCCATGGATGGGCGTCTGACTCGAGATCCAGAAGATTCCGGGTTCGACTCTGTCTGCGTTAGAATGGGGCTTCCTTTATCATGACATTAGACTATTAATATTTTATTAGAGTGTCATTTCAGTTTTGAATTTGAGTGAAGCTGAAACACAGGAATTTTCCGTGAGTGTCCGCAGCTATGCCTGGATAAGGCGTCTGACTTTAAGTCAAGGCTGAGTTCCGGAAGGTCCACAACACTAACGAGAAATGGGTGCTTCCCTTTTCCGATGCAGTCCTGACTATTAATATTTTTTATTAGAATTGTCTTTCATTTCCGAATTTGAGTGTGAAACACGAACAAGCCCACAAAGTTGTCCGTATTGTGGATAAGTCGTCTGACTTCGAATCAGAAGATTGCAGGTTCCGTTTTAATATGAGGACGAGAAATGGGGCTTTTCCGATGCATTCCGACTAACAATATTTTATTAATTGTCTTTCATTTCCAATTTGTGAAACACGGAGCAAACCCACGAGTAGTAATTGTGGATAAAGTCATCCTGACTTCCAGATCAGAAGATTGCAGGTTCGAGGTTTTGTCGCATTGAAATTTAGGCTTCCATTTTCGATGGTCCCGACTAGTAATAATTTGTTAAGTGCATTTCATTCATCAGATTTGAAGATGTGAAAAACGAGGTGTTTCCATGGGGTGTCCATTGGCCGAATGGATGGGCGTCGACTTCAGATGAGAAAATTTGGTTCGGGTCTGTCACTTGTGAAGGGGGGCTTCTTTTTTTCCGATACATTTAAGATTATTAAAATTTTTATTAGGGTACCTTTCATCATTTCATTTTGAAAACAGGTGTTTTCCGTGCGGACTTTCCGCGTGGCCCAATGGATAAGGCGTCTGAAGATCAGAAAATTGCAGGGTTCGAGTCCTGTCGCGGACGAAATGGGGCTTCCTTTTTCCGATGCATTTAAGATTGTGAAAATTTTTTTTAAAGTGTCTTTCATTTGAATTTGATGTTAAACACAGATTTCCGTGAAGTGTCGCATTGGCCAATGGATGGGCATTCCGACTTCGAATCAGAGATTGCAGGGTTCAGGTCTATCGAGGGACGAGAAATGGAACTTCCTTTTCGATGCATTCCGACAATTGTATTCTATTAAATTTGTCTTTCATTTCGATTTATTGTGAAACCTGGAACAAGCCCACGAGTTGTCAGTGGCCCAATGGATACGATCGTCCATTCAGATCAAGAAGATTGCAGGTTCAGGTCCTGTCATGACGAAGAATTGGGCTTCCATTTTTCAGGTACATTCCGACTAATGTTTTATTAAGTGCATTTCTGATCAAGATTTAGATTAAAACTGAGTGTTTCTGAGGAACTCCGCGTGGCCCAATGGATGGGCGTCTGACTTCCAGATCAGAGATTGCAGGTTTAATTTTAATCACTTGGACGATAAGTGGGTTTCCTTTAACGTGAATTCCCGACTATTGTATTTTATTTAGAGTTGCATTTCATTTCGATTTAGTGCCAGAAAACGAATGTTTCTTTCAGGTGTCCGCATTGGCCCTATGGATAAGGGCATTGAATCCAGGAAGATTGCGGGTTGGGTCTATTACTAAACGAGAAATGGGGGGAGCTGCTTGCACCAGTACATTCCAGAGCTATTAATATTTTTTATTAAATTGTCTTAATTTCAATTTGAGTGCTGAAACACGAACAAAGCCCAAGAGTTGTCGACATTGTGGATAAGTGTCTGACTTCGTATCAGAAGATTGCAGGTTCCAGAGTCCTATGCCGGACGAGAAATGGAAATTCTTTTCCGATACATTTAAGATTGTAATATTTTGTAAAGTGTCTTTCATTTATTCGCACATTTGGTGGCAGAAAAGCAGGTGTTTCCATTGCAGTGTCCGCGTGGCCCAATGGATAAGGCGTCTGACTTCAGATCAGAAGATTTACGGAGGTTCGACTCCCTGCCGGACGATAATTGGGTTTCCTTTCTAGAGAATTCCAGACTAGTAATATTTTATTAAATTGTCTTTCAATTTCAATTTAGTGTGAAAACGGTGTTTCGTGAGAATTTGTCCGTGGCCCAATGGATGAGCGTTTGACTTCAAGTCAAGAAGATTGCAGGTTTTGGTCCTATACACCCGGACTGAGGAAATGGGGCTTCCTTTTCCGAGTACATTTTAAGATTGTTAATATTTTATTAAGAATTGTCTTTTCATTTGAATTTAAGGTGAAACACGAATTATTCCAAGTACAGGGGTGTCTAGCATTGGCCCAATCGGATGAGCGTCTGACTTCCGGGTCAGAAGGTTGCAGGTTCGAGTCTGTCATGGACGATAATTGGGGTTTTCTTTTTTTCGATAGATTCCCGACTATGTATTTTGATAGGTGCATTTCATTTCCAATTTAGTGTGAAAATAGATAAATTTTCCTTCAGATTGTCCGCGATAGTAATGGATAAGGCGTCTGACTTCGAATCAGAAGGTGGGTTCGAGGTCCGCAATAAGCGGACGAGAAATGGGGCTTCCCCTTTCCGATGCATTGACTATTAATATTTTATTAAATTGTCTTTCAGTTTCAGATTTGTAGTGAAACACGAACAAGCCACAGTTGTCCATTAATGGCCCAATGGATAAGTCGTCTGACTTCAGATCAGAGATTGCAAGGTTCCAGGTCCTGTCACGGCCGAAAATTTGGAAACTTCCATTTTGATGATGCATTCCCGACTATTAATAATTTATTAAAGTGCATTTCATTTCAATTTCAGTGTAGCTGAAAACAGGTGTTTCCATGTGTCCATTGACCGAATGGATAAGGGCGGCGATCTGACTTCGAATCAGAGAGTTACTGAGGTTCGAGTCCTGTCGCGGACGAGAGGGCTTCTTCTCGATACATTTAAGATTATTAAAAATTTTATTAAAATTGCCTTTCATTTCACATTTAGTGCTTGAAAACGGTGTTTTCCATTGCGGTTTCCGCATTATTGTCTGGATAAGGCGTCACGAGCACAATCAGAATTGCAGGTTCGAGTCTGGCTCACGGACGAGAAATTTGGCTTCCTTTTTCCCACGATACATTTAAGATTATTAAAATTTTATGAAAGTGTCTTTCATTTTGAATTTAGTGTTAAACTTTAATTTTCCGTAGAATCGCATTGGCCAATGGGTCAAAGACGTCTGACTTCTGAATCAAGAAGATTGCGGGTTCAGTTCCTGTCGCGGACGAGGTGGGAACCTCCTTTTCCGATGCATTTATGATTATTAAAATTTTATTAAAGTGTCTTTCATTCGAATTTAGAGTGAAACACGAACCGTCTACCAGTTGTCCGCGAGGCCCAATGGATAGGGCGTCGGACTTCGAATCAGAAGATTGCAGGTTCGAGTCCTGTCGCGGGCGATAATTGGGGTTTTCTTTTTCGATGAATTCCCGACTATTAATATTTTATTAGAGTGCATTTCATTCGAATTTAGTGTGAAAAACGAGTGTTTCCTTCAGGTGTCCGCGTTGCCCAATGGTTAAGGTGTCTCACTTCGAATCAGAAGTTTGCAGGTTCGAGTCCTGTCGCGGCCGAGAAGTAGGGTGCCCTTCTCCGATGCGTTCCCGACAATTAATAGTTTATTAAAGTGTCTTTCATTTGAATTTAGTGTGAAACACGAAATTTTACGCGAGGTTTCCGCGTGGCCCTATGGATAAGGCGTCTGACTTCGAATCAGAAGATCGCAGGTCCGAGTCCTGTCGCGGCGAAAATTTGGGCTTCCATTTTCGATGCATTTTCCACCCAACGATGATATTGAAGATTTATTAAATGAATGGGGTGGTCTTAATTTGTTAATTGGTGATTTTAACTGTAGATCGAGTAGCTGGGGCTATGACTCCGACAATTATAGAGGTAGAAAATTTATGGAGTTCATAACCTCCAGCAACCTGCACGTTTGCAACATATCTGAATATGGTCCTACATTTCAATCCACTATAAACGTGGGGTTCTCCGATCTCACACTTATCAGCTCATCTATTGCAAATTATGTTAAAAATTGGGGGGTCCTTGACACTGAGACCCATAGCGACCATAAATACATTTATTTTAATATAGAAATTGATAATATTCCAGAAACTGATTTTTATTTTAAATCTAAATATGGC